CTTTAGAGCTTATTTGTTTAAAATATGGTGGCATATGTTTTTTCCTATCACTCAGCCTTCTAACCTTCTTTGTTGCTAATTCAAAGTTCTGGCAGGAGAGAGAGCACCAGCCTACAAGCTCATCAGGAAACAAGGCACCAAGTGTAACAGTGTCTACTCCTTCTTGCACCCCTTACCAACTATATACTGTATTTTTCATCTGATTCAAAAAGCTATAGAGAAATTAAACTCATTACAGATTGGGCACTGTATGCAAAGCTTCCCCACTGATAAGGCAGAAGATCACCTTTTCAGTCCTGGGTGGCTGAGCTCCTAGGGCTAACTCTCACTGGACACATCTGTTCAGTTACAAATAAATATGATCATTTTTAACTTATGCCTTAACACGGAAATAATTAGGAGAGCCTAAGTTCGTATCATTTGTAAAACTTTTAGGAAAGAAATTGGTCTATGGTTGTACACTGTTGTCTCCCCAGCAGCTGGTAACATTCCTGGCACACTGTAAGCAACAATCAACTGCCAACTAAACCATGATAAATAAACATAAAGTGACAGAACCCTTAGATGTGACAACCATCGGCCTATACCTGGAAGAATAGATACTCCTTGTTGAGCCATTACTCCATGCATAAAGTGCCTACTCTGGTCAAGCATCTACATATATTATGCCATTTAATGTGGCCAAGAATTAAAATCAACTTGTGAAGCTCCAGCTATACTTTGTAACTGTCTGCTACAAACTTCTGTCAGGAGAGCAGAATTGCAAAAAAAAAAAAACCAGCAGAGAACCTTTTGGTGAGACTATCTTGGCAAGGATCCTTGATGTTCTAACTTTGCGTAGCCCTCCAGAAAAAGAATGCCCTTTGAATCAGATGAAAACCCAGAATCTAGTTGGTAACAGGTGCAGGAAGCAGTAGACACCTTTACAATGCTACAATAGCTCTTGACATTGTTTGAATGCAATTGAACTTGTGATTAATTTTCAGGCAGCTCCAGGAAAGTTGAAAATAAATCACACACACACACACACACACACACACACACACACATATGTATGTATGTACATGGGTACAAATACATAAGGATAATTGATTTTTTAAGTGAAATGAAGTCAAATATGATTATCATATATCTTAACACTCAGGTTAAAAACTGCCAACACATTTCTCCACTTCTGGGGCATCATTTCCATGCCTTTGTACTTATGGATTTGAGAGTGATAGTCAGTTGAAAATTCCTCATTTCCTTAATCACATTTCTCTCTGTCCCTACTTGTAGGTCAATTACCCAAACACTGAAGTGAAGATATAATTTCTGATTAATTTTTCCACCAGGCAAAGAAGTTTCCATATTAGCAACAAGATTGACTTAACTAGAATCCAGTTGGCAGAAGAGTGAGATGACATTTAAACTCTATCTTTGGAACTGATCTCTCTTCAAAATATTTAGAGAGAAAGGATAATTTCCGAAGTGCCAGGAAGTGGAGCTGAAGGATTTACTCTGCGAGACCCTGGGCTCTGTCATACTGGCAGAGAATGCTCCTCCCTCCGGCACGGGGCTCTGCTGCAATTTCAGAAGATTGGCTAAGGGAAGAATCCTTTGGCATAATGTCCTGAATTGAATTTAAGAACTGCCTCTAGCCTTTCAGGGCAGCTTCAAGCCTTTGCCCTAATTGAGCTGTTTGTATATTTAATGTTTTCTGCCAACAAAGCACTGTCATTGTGTATGTAAGTAAACCCTCAAAACATAGCTGTCCTATATGGAAGAGAATTAAGCTTTCCTCCCTATGAGTCTTATTTTTCCTTTTATAACTCAGTCCACATTCCCAGTCTTCTTTAACTTTCCACCTATTATCAAAAATTCCTCAAAAACAAAAGGACTGGAAATTAACTTGCTCTCAAGTAAAAAAAAAAAAAAACTGATGATAATGAAAGTATTTCTTCTCTCAGGGAGATTTCAATATGAACAATACCTTAATTAAAAGGTTTGCAATACCTCTCCTATTTGATGACAAAGTTTAATGAGCAAGGAAAGGAAAGAAAAATTTTTCTGTGAATGAAAGTTTGAGAACTAAGGGAATGACTTGCCCAGCAGAAAGGAACCAGGAGTCTTGAAGCTAATCTAGTTTGGGACCAACTACTCCTAAAAATAATGGATGATGTTTTCTATACAATCGATCTTCTGTATCCTTGGATTCTGTATCTGTGCATTCCACCAGCCATAGATCAAACTATTCCTGGAAAAGAATTACCTTTGTGCTAAACATGTACGTGCTTCCTCTGTTGCCATTCCCCCCTAAACAATGCAATATAACAAATATTGACACAGCATTTACATTCTGCTAGATATTGTAAGTAATCCAGAGATGTCTTCAGGTGTACAGGAAGATGTGTACAGGTTAAATGCAAGTATACTCCATCTTCTACAAAGGCCCTGAGTGTCCAAGGGTTTGGGTACCCATGGGAATCCTGGAACCAACCTCCCCAAAGGTACTGAAGGAAGGCAACTGTTACCAAGCTAGCACATCATCCAGGTCTTCCATGTAGGTGTTCCACCAAAAGAGTCAAGATCTAGCTACATATTAAGTGAGCTTCTAATATTTTAAAGTTAAATTTGGCCGAGTTTGTTAAGAAAAAGAAAAATTTCTCCATGATTTCATACAAGTAGGAGCCAGGATCTCATCTAGCCTGCTGCAAAGATAAAGCACAGTCTTCTAATGAGCTGTGCAATAAAAGGCAATTAACAGGTGAAATTCATAATAAAATTATAAGAACCTTTGTCAACAGACTAAAAGCAGACTGACTCCAGTGGCAATCAGTTGGGAGAAAAAGAACAAGTTATCTATTTACAAATCATGTGATCTTTTCTCTCAGAATTTTTGGGTCTTATATCATCCAATAGAATAAATAAGTGTATCCCAATGAAAAATTAATACAAGCTGAAATCTTTACTTTTCTCTAAATTCCATCATGATATAATCTCTATTTTGAACTAAGAGTATCTTCTTACCACCAAACTGGAAACAGAGGGCTGGGGATATAGCTCAGTGGCATAAGTGCCTGTCTGGCAAGTGCAAGGTCCTGAGTTTGATTCCTGGTACCAAAAAAACTGAAACAAACTGGAAACAGAAAATTATATACTACTGCATGCTGGATTGTTCAGCCCCATAGTTCTACATGTTCACACTTTGGTTCCACCAATGTAAAAGACAGAATTCCACTTCAGATGTTTCAAAATTATTTTTATTTCTAAGTCCTAGAGATACACTAACACTTTCTGAGTTAACTTTTATAAAGCTGATGTCTCAAGGATGTTTTGAATTAATTGTTTAGTGCTGTGTCTTAGTCTGAATACCTGGACTGACCTTTCCACCCTCTCTGATTTTGTTAGATCTCAGAACAATGGATTGTGTTAAGTGTTGCTTCTGAAAAGATTATTATAAAACAGATCTGGGCTGATTATAATTTGTCCTTGGCTTCTCCACCTAGGAAAATAATTTCCTTGCATATACATTTCCTCCGTGTAATCTGCTGCTATGTTCCTCAGAAAATGAAATCATTTTTGAAAGTATGTTTTAGAAGCTGGTTACATGATGTTAAAGAATCTAGTGATTATTTAGTAAAATTAAACTGCTTTTTACAAGTGAATAATCAATCATCCCAAATGTTTGGTGTTTGTTACAGCATATAATCTCTCTCAGTCTCTTTGTCTCTGTCTATCTCTGTCTTTGTCTGTCTCTGTATCTCTGTCTCTGTCTCTCTGTCTGTCTCTCTCTCTCTCCCTGTCATCTATGAGTCATTACAATTCCAGTAGAATCACAATGCAGGGTTCAGAACCCCTCGCCCACACCTCACTGTAAAGGAAAGGAACCAGAAGACAGCTTTCTTCTGTAAATGTCAAGTGTTCGGCATGTCTCCATTGGGGGCTGAATAGATATATAACCTTAACAAAATAAGTCCTTGGGTCTGAGCAAAGTTTTGAGCACTGAGTCCAAAGTTGACTTCCTACAAGTGTGCCAATGGGAATTTTACTTCCTTCCATTAGCCTCAGCTGTCTGCAGCATCAGCTGGGCGTATGCCTTGTTCTGACTGGGTGGGACAGCCCACAAGACACACAACTGGATGTTTCCTGGTTTGTTTCCAGGGAAGCTGGCAGACCTGTGCACAGAGGGGAGGGGAGTTTCATGATCTTCCTTCCAATGCTTCTCAAATGCTGCTTCTTTCTTCACAATTCAGCACACAGCACACCGTACCATACTAATAATCAATTCTGCTTAGTCCACAGTGGGTGGAAGAGAAGGGTGTGAAACCTACACTGAGTGATGGCGTACTTTTTAGAGATTTCAATAATAACAAAAAGCTGGCCGCAGCACAAAAAGCAGATACCATAGGATTGCTACCATTGCAGGGCTTGATTTAGCTCTCATTATAACTTGTCTGAACAGATCTCGAAGTATTGAACTCCAAGTCCTTACTGAGGTTGGTAGGGAGTATAGCAAACTGGAGTAACCTCAGCCACCTAACCAGAGTTTCTTTTGTTGTTGGGATAATTTTGTTACATTCTCACAGAGAAGAATGCATTTAGACAGACTGGCATGATTTGGTCAAATATCCAGAGGCAGGGGGGAGAAAATTGGGGTAATAAGAAGGGTCTGAAACCAAATGTACCCCCTGTATTTCTCTCCTGGAAACAGCTCACAATTTTAATTACCCACCTTGTTTTGTAGCTCAGAATAAAAATGGGATTGCACCAAACCCTACCAGAACAGCCTTTGTGATTAGAAAGTGTTCCATACCTTGGAGAGCCCAGGAGACATGAGAATAATTTTAAATGCAAATTAAATTGAGGGGGTAGCAGAGAAGAACACATAAAAGACAGTAAAACAAAACCTTTCAATTTTCTTAAATTAGCAGTCTAATGTGTTCTAAAGAGCAGCTCCACTCAGATCCCTTCTTAGGGGTTGCATCTCATCACAATATAAAATGGGCAAATCCATCACTTTCCTCTGCTCTCTGCTCTTGACTCGAGATTGAAGGGAAAATTAGGAGCTGCTCATTTGGGCTGGCAGGCTCCGCTGTGTCCTTCAGCTCGCTGACGCTCTCCTGTATCCTGTTGCAAGGGGTCAACAAGTGCTGGTGAGTATCTGCCAACTTTGAGGATCCTCCTGTTGTGTGTATACCTGTCTGGCTATCTCTCCTTCACAGAGGTGGGGGAGTCCCCCCACTGAGATCTATAGCATGCATCTTTCAAAATCTGAGAAATTTCAGGCAGCTTTTTAAGCTGCTTCCAGTGACTGATTCACAGAAGGAGTTATTTCCAGCCTAGATGCCGGTGACTGTTTCTGTGTATTAGTTATAACAGGGGGATGCTGAACATATGCTTGCTAACGTGGCCTTTCCTTACCATTCCCCCGATTCCCTGCCACCAGTGGGTCACCTTCACAGTAGGAGCTGGAAGCCCCCAACATAGCCTAGATAACTTTCTCCTATTGATTTTTATTAACCATTTAATGTACTATTCTGTTCCAACTGCAAATCAAACTGGGATTTAGGATTATAAAAAAATAAGTGATTAAACCAGAAATCTTTTTTAAAAAATGACTATAGCACTTCTTTGTGCATAAGACATGGGGGTAGGGTGGGGGTTAGCCCTGGATGATGTAAAATCTACATGTAGATTTTGATGATTTTCTGCCAAAGTTTTACACGGGAAACTGGTAATTTCTTCCTTCACAGGGGAGGGCACAGGGAAGCAGAGACTGGCGTCACCTTCTGTTGCTAAGGTAACATGCTCTGGCCATTTTATCTGATAAAGGAAGTCCAGTGGATGGAATGCATTATTCATCACTGATCTAATCAAACAATCAAAATTGTTTACTTTCACCGGGAATATTTAGTGAGATCAAAGACATCTGGCTGAAACTGCTCTTGGTTTGACTGCCGACAGTGAACCCTTGATATTTCTGCAGTAAGTATGCTCTGCTGTTGGGGTACCTTTGGGTATTTTTTAAAAGTTTCTTCTTACCAGACTTGGTTTCTTAAATTAAAATGTATATCTTTAAAAAGAGAAGCCAGTTAGATTAGCCTCTGTGAGCTTGATTTTAATGACTTTGTCTTGTTAATTCTTTCTTTAAAAACGTCATGCAGAAATAGAGATGCTTCATTTGTGTAAATATCAAGGAAAGGTTCCATGGGCTCAAAAAAGGAACCCAATAGGCTGAATGTGTTTTGATGAAGTGGCTTAGCTTCCTGACAGGCTGGTGCATGATATTGCTATGGGAATCATTGCAAAGCTGCAATAATTGTCGTTCTGCAAACCACAATTCTTTCTCAAAAGCAGCCTGTGTCAGGTGCAGGCAGGTGATGATCCTGTAGCACTTTATAAAATGTGCCAGAGGGAATTGCTAAAAAGGAAGGAATTCAAGGCATTTCTCCAGCAAAAAAGTCAGTGTGTGTCATAGATGCAAGGCATCTATGAGCTGAGGGTTGGATTCGCAAGCAATTCTCCCTGCTGGAGAAGAATCCAAACATCTCCAGATCAACTGAGAATCAACCCTCAGGATGCCTGACACTTCCTGATGCCGTTTACCAGATAGAACTTTGAAAAATGATAGCATGAGAATTTAACAGTATATTTTCCAGTTGATACACAGCAAGGAAAAGACTGGTACGTTATCTCTCTCTATCCTGGATTGTCTGTTTTTCTTGAAAAGAATATATTACTTTTAATAAATATTGGCTAAAGGTTGCATTTTCTCCTATAATAGGAAAGCTGTATTGGCCGTGGGGGAGGTTGTCTTAAATGTGAAAATGTCAGTCAAATAGTGGGCTATTATAATAGGATATTCTTATTCAAAAATTTAAAGTATATACATACCTTATATTTTTCCACCTAAAATATTGTGGATTATTTTCCTCTTTCTAGGCATTCAAGTGAATACTTTCTCTCAGAAGTCTGTGATTGAAACCTCAGGATGGATTATCCCAAAATGGATTACTTTCTGGATGTCGAGTCTGCTCATAGACTTTTGGATGTGGAGTCAGCTCAAAGATTCTTCTATAGTCAAGGAGCTCAAGGTAATAAAATGGAAAGAAAAGAGGAACATTTTCTCAAGTACATGCTGGATTTCTATTAACAGTGCAGTATAGGTTGGAAGAGTTTAATCTGTCCCAGAAGTTTATCACTTGGTATGTCTAAATGGATGACCTCCCCAAAATGCAGTTGGTATTGAGATGGGCATGTGATAGAATAAATAATTCCACACTTGTTGAAAGTGATAAGAAAAAATATATCCAGTTATGGGTACAAATGCTTGCAGAAAGCTGAGTTAGAAAACAATGCTCCACCTCGAGCCCAAGGCCTGTGGCTGACAAGGAATCAGGGACATCTTCCTCCCTGAAAACCTTTTAAGTTTGCAGCCATTACACTGGTGGGTATCTTAAGGCACCCTAACCTAGCTGAGTGGATTAGGGGTTCTGGAGATAAACAGTGGCCTTCTATAGCTGTCGTATGTATTTTAGATGATTTTAGCTATTACCTTGGAGAACTGACTTTGCATATCCAGGGAGCATAAGGAATATCTGTATTGTGACATGTGGTCAATATGCACATTTTTATTACTTTGTTCAAGGTGATCAGTGAGGCTCTGGGTACCGGCTCTTCTGTTCGAGGGTGCATGTACAATGTTGGCCACTGTGTTAGAGTACGAAGAGAAACTAGAGTGCTTTACAAAATCTCCTGGTGTATAGGAGATTTTTTAAGACATCAATTCTATTTTCTACGGAATATTTAAGGTGCGCAGTCAGTGCACCTGAAAGATGGGCTTGTCCCGATGGTACACTGAGGAGGACAATGTCCCTATTTTTCAGTTTACAAAGCTAGGTGAATTCTTGGAAATCACAAAGCAGAGATAAGAAAAATATCAGTTTTTATAAGCTCAGCATCTTTTCCCTGTTACATGATGGGAACTTCACACACTGGACACTGATAATATTCCACCCCAGTTTTCCCAGATCCTTTTCTGAATTTTTAATTCATTCTTGAACTATTTGCTAACCCACCTCGAGGGCTTGCAATTCTGCTTCTTCCTTGCTTCCACTGTCCAGAGCATGAGCAGTCCACTTAAAGTCAAGAGGGGCTAGAAATGTTCTGGTGGGCTTGCTCAGGTCAGCGTGCTCATCAGCACAGGTTTAATTAGCACCAGTGATACAACAACTAATTCACATCCCCCCTGGGAGGATGGAGCCAGTTTTGCCCCTCTCGGCCACTTCCTGAGATATGGAGAAAAGGAAGGGAGAGGAACTGATCAGAGCCTCAGCCTGCCCAGGGGTCTGTGGTAGGAAAATGCTAACAGTGGATGCAGAGCTGAAGCTGGGAGGGAGAGAGGGTGAGACGAGGCTCCTTCTCAGCAGCAGCTCCGCATTTGTATACTGCTGCATCTGCTCCATTCCACTTGAATGAGAGCACCATGTTCCGTGGAGGAGCTGTGCATCTGAGCGGCACAGCTGTGGGCAGAGCGACAAAGGGAGCGGCAGTTAATTATAGAGAATACAGATGTCCACTTTGTCTTGCTTGCAGTGGGGACAGGTTCAACTTTTAAGAAAATCATGGGCTTCCGGCTTTCACAGAAAGGGAACGGGCAGCATGTGGGAGGCTCAGAGAGCTCGAGGCAGCCTGGTGACTGTCAGCAGATGGAGCTGGAGGCGGAGTGGTCAGAATTGTCACCATCAGTGACTGTGGCTTAGACACCAGAGCTGGAGCAACTGGAAAATGCATGGGAGGTGGTAGCATAAGCTGCTGCTGCTCTCCAGAATCCTGTTCATTTGAGGGTAGCCAGATATTCCAGTTAAGAAATCTGGGTTTACAGAAGGGTGGGGGCTCCCCAAATATCATTTTGTCCAGGGTGCAAAACCCTCAGACTCCCTGAAGCAGAAATCAGGTGTTCACGAATGGCCAACAACATATCTCACCAGCAGCATGACTCTGAGACCAAAGGAAGGAGGGCAGCCTGGTAACCACCTGTTGAGAAGGACATTTAGGGCAATTGGGCTCAATCTCACTGCATGGCAGCTCTGTGGTCAGCCAGCATAGCCAGGTCATTTGGAAGGTCAAGAGGCTGAGGAGAACTGTAAGTTTGAGCCCTTCTGACTTAGCAAGAGCCTGTCTCAGACTTAAAAGCCTGGTTCTATTTCAGTGTGAAAGCCTGGGTCAGTCCTCAATAACACACACACACACACACACACACACACAATGCAGGAAAGACAAATGGTCCCAGTTTGAAGGAAGTTGAATAGGGAGCACAGTACAGAGTTCAGAAACTGGAACTTTGGTGAGCTCAAACCCCACTGACTTCTCTGTCGTGTGTTGATTGTATTTCCTAGCTGTCCACGCTCGCTGTCATGCACCTCTTTCTACAGACTGACTCCAAGTGTTCTGGCTGATATAAGTATTTCCAAAGGGGGAAGCAAGAAAATCAGAATTCTTTTCTTTTTCTCTGTCTCACTTTACTTGTAGTTACCCTTACCCTTACCCTTATAGTTACCCAATTTACAGTATTTACAAATTCATAGCATTCTAGGGAAAACAGTACCTTCTGTACTGATCATATGCTAACTGCTTATCCAGAGCAACAATTTCAGAATTATGTTTTTGAATGCCTCATAGAGTTCTTTAATTTTTTTCTTGGAAAGTGGCAAAAATCCTGTCCCTAAATAGACGATGTCCTAGCTAGTTAGCACAAGAAGAATCTCAGTGAGAAAAAAATTCAAGGAAAAAAGCAATCTATCATATGACAGTTTCTTTTGGAAGTCCCTGAGATTTTCAAAGCTCAGTGATCTGCTTTGCTAAATGAAGCAGGCTGTTATTTACTTCCATCTCCCTTTTTCCTTGGTCTGACACTGAGTTGAGGAAATCAGTTGCCTCTCTGGGGATTCTACTTTCAAAAAGCAGGTGCGATGTGTTACAGAGAGCAGGGAAAAAGTGCAGGGGCATCTTGTCTGCTGTCAGTGGAGAGTGCTTTGCTTTGTGAGTGGTCCATCCACAGGAAGTTCTGCTGGTACAGAAGTGTTCTACCAGGATCTCCTTTTGCTCAAAAAATGTACTTCAGAGATACATATGACCTCAAAGATCAGGCATATCCTGACATCCGGTAATTTGAGGTCACCTACCTAGCAAGTTTCTGACAATAAAGTCCCATACACCGTATATCTGATACTGTTCTTTTGTAATGAACAACTAAACTGGAATAGAAATCATGTTATAAAATCACAGAACTAGTGTCATGGAATTTTCAGGTGGAAATAAGGATTATAGACCAGTAATTCTTACAGAATTCTTCCTAAATTGAGACAGACACTTGAGGTCCAGATCCAGGCCCCTGTGCCAGTTTTGACAAGTCCCTGGGTTATAGAAATCAGTGCCAAAGGTTGAGAACCACCACTGTGGTCCATCAGTCACTGGTTCTCAGACTGTGACTGGGTGGTCCCACTCGGCCAGCCCCTGCCTCACCTGCAGAATCACAGAGCCCATCCTAGACTTGGAGACTCAACTTGCATTTTTGCAAGTTCTCTGGCTAATTTATGCTGCAAGTTTTGAGTAGCAAATATTGTATTCCAGGGCACATTAGAAACACCTGGTGAGGCTTTACAGTTTCAAGGCTGGAGTCCCACTGCAGTCCAAGGGAATAGAGTGTGTTGAGAACTACAACATTTTCTGCATTGTCCGTTAGTGATTTCAATGGGCAGCCAGGACTGAGAACTTGGACCTCCCATTTCATAGTAAAGGAGGTCTTATCACCCTGTGTGCCCTTCTTACCTGAATATCTTCTCTACTGAGCACTTCCTTTCTAAATCAATCCAAACCACTGGAAAAGGGCAAGTGGACTTTAAACAAATGTATTAGGAGCTGCACTTTACATATTCATAGTTAATCTTCAAAGAAACATTGGGAAATAGGAGTTACAGTATTATGTGCGTGTTGTAGGTTAGAAGGTTGATGATGGACAGGGTGAAGAACCTTGAAAAGTAGAAAAGCCAGAACATGAATCCAAGTGTATCGACTCTAAACCCAAGCTATTTTTTATTGTTTGGGTACTGGGAATCGAACTCAGGACCTTGCATTTGCCAGGCAGGTGCTTGTTTCACTGAGCTGTATCCCCACCCTGCTATTTTAGTACCTCATCCTGCATGCTGGAAAGCACTGTCTTTTGGGCCAGTCAGGTTGATAAAACCAACCCTGTAGGTCAGGGAAGATGAGGCTGATGACCATATCACACTCCAGAGAGGGTAAAGCCAGAGCTCAGTGGTACCCTCGGATGCCCAAGTCACACAGCATATCTGGAAAGCGTGGAAACAAGAGCTAGATCTCATTTCACCATGCTCTTGCCCTTTCTGTGACTCTAGGGTTTTCTTTTATTTTCTCAAGGACAATCAGTATTCTTGGACATTCAAATTACTTTCTGAAGGGAAAATACATTAAAAGGCAGCCAGTTCCCCCAAATCACTGGACAACCAAATTTATGACTCTTGCTCTTTCCTCTCTTTTATGGTTTTACATAACTCTTGGCATTAGAACTAGATGCCACAGTCATTGTTGCTCTTCATAATGCACCTTTTCTCTCCTCTGTATTGTCTCGTTCAACAAAGAGAAATGCCAGCTTTGACAACTGATGAATGTCACAGTGAGCAGCTCAGAGTTCCTTCAAGTTGTTTTTGGAAATAGAGAGGAATTCATCAAAACCCCTCTGTCAACTATTTCTCCCCCCTACCCCCTCCTACCTTCACCTTCTGCCCACCCCATAGTATCTGTCAGAACACAGGATTTTGAATCTTCAACTTTGAGTTCAGTGTTCTCTAACCCTGAACGCTACATCCCTGGGACCTCTTCAACATGACCTCAAGAGGCAAAGACATTTGATAGCACTCAACTAATTGGAAGTCATTAACATGGATATGCTCAGATTCTTTCCATTTCTGTGTGTAATACAAGGCCCATTCCCAAAGTCTCCTTCTCTGTGAAGCTTTGTCTGAGATTTCTAGAACTTTCTCACATAGAATTCTGTTCAAGCCCACATTCCAGC